AATTATAAAACCAATCGAAAGATATTATTTTAAAATATACCAGTTACGGCAGTCTTTTATTCAGTCGTCGGCAACACAAAAACAAGAACATAAAATAACTGTAAAGAATGCAACTCATGCTTTCATTCAAAATGTATATGTATGTGTATTCATCTTTCGATCAAATTGATTTTTTTTTACTTAATTCTCCAATTCTGAAAACCTTTTTCATAAAAAAAATCTAAAAAAAAACTTTGTGTGCACTATTTTGATCGCAAGCATTTCTTCTAAGAAAATCTTTTACGAAATTTTCAAGGAACGTTGCAACTTTCCTGTCAAACTATTTAAACTCAACTTTTGTGAGAACGAGTGAGCCGAAATACTTTATAGTGTCATTTCCATATACCACCTTTTCACGAGTAGTATTTCCCACTTTTTCGTAGTTTAAATTTGTTTACTTATTCGTAAAGAAAATAGGTATTCTCAAGCCCAAAATATTAAATTAGCACAGAATGCGGCACATTTACGTATTTTAATTAAATTTCGATAGACCACAAAGAAAGTAAAAAAAAAAATTCGTTTTGTTTTCCAAAGTAGGAACTGAAAATAACCGTTAAATAACAAGAGTTTTAATCTTAGCTCATTAAAAAATTATTATTTTTTGATATTTTTTTTTATTAAAAATAATCGTTAATTTGTATTTTTGCGATAATTGCTAACCGTTATAATGGAGACTGCGTTTTTTTGACCATTTTAAATCTTTTATTTAATATCTAAAAAATTAAGTCCTGAAATAACGGTTATGTTATGGTCGAAAAAATAGTGAGCACAAAATAACGATTAAATTTGAACGAAAAAATAAAATCCAAATTTTAACGATCGAAAAATTATAAATCATCAAAATTATGGTTAAATCTGATTGGAAAAATATAAATAAAATATTAACGCTTAAATTGTGTTCTTTATGGCAAAGATCATAACCGTTAGGGCACCCGTTCTAAAGTGAAATCAATCTTTTTGTAACGCGTTTTCTGGTAAAAAATATTGTTATAAAAATTGCGACTTAAAACAAAAATATTGTAGGTATACATTTTTGAATACGACCATACGAAATGCTTGTTATGCTTTTTATAATAAGTAAGAAATAATTATGCTCTAATTCCACATATTATCCTCGACAAAATATGGATTCCCTCATAAAATTCTTAAAATTCATTGAAAATTATTGAAACCAAAATGTTTATCGAATAAACACAGATAAAAGATCTTACTTAGTTAAGTTGTTGAAAATGCATTTAATTACCAATTAAGTATATTTGAATAATGATAAATCAATTAAAAAGAAAAACTTTATCAATAAAAAAAAAGCCAGTGTAAAATGCGCAAGCAACTATCAAACGGAAAAATATAAATAAAAAATATTTAACGAAAACAAAACGTGAATAATTGTTAGTCACTCAAATAATGACTTATTGAACGCTATTTACTATTATTTATTTCTAGTTGCAAACAAAAATAAAATAAAATTGATTGAAATTAAGTAAAGCAGAAGATTAAAAATTTTGAACTTATAACGCGCAAGTAATTGAATTCATGCACTTCATTATTAATTAAATACAATTTACAAAACCCTTAAGTGAAATTCAGAAAAAAGCATTGAATAAAAAATATTGAATAATAAAATGTATAATAAATTAGCAAATTGTTTTATTCGATTGTTGTTTCAGGAAAATTTTCTTAGTTACATAAATACCAAAGATTTTCTAAGCTTGGATTGCTTTGTTTTTTTTTTTTATTTACAGTGGCTCAAACAAGTGTACACATATTGATTTTTTAAATTCACGAGTCCAAATTTGTTAGCTATTTTTTCATAAAAATATTGCTTATGATTTAACAGAAACCATTTTTATCAAATTTTTAAACTAAATAAAAATTTAGAGAAATTCAAAAAATTTGCATCAAAATTTAGAACTCTTTTATCTGAAGTTTTGGAGAATTTTTTGGTACGCGGTTTTATAGCCCATAAAATTTTAGTCTTTTTAATCTTTTTTTTTGCAAACAGATTTTTGAATTTTTTTTTTTTATAAACACGAATTTCTTATGGAATAATAAAACCGTTCGCAAACAAATTTTAAAAAACCAACGCCAGTTTTTATAAATTGCACTTCTTATATGAAAAATACGCAAAAGACCCAAAAGTTGTTTAAAATATCAGGATTAAAAAATAAAATGTTGAAAAACATATGCACTAAAATAAATAAATAAAATAAGTCAAGGATTTTGTAAAGGTTAGTAAAAGCTCAGTGGTAAATGTACCTATTAATTTTCAATGCAGATATGTTCCTAACTAATTCTACATACGAATTTCTCAATATGAATCTACATATTGCGACCACTTTATTTATTTTCATATTAGCAATATATCTACATACATATATTCTAAATACCTATAAACTAAATCGGGACATAGATATATTTTTTTGAAGTAATTCGACACCCTCGCCACCTAACGGCAACATTTTTAGTGGAGTTATTTTTTTCCTCCTAAATATGCAGAAAGATTCTGCGAAAGATTTACGAGACTTTATGCGATAGCGGCTACGCTGGGCTAGGTCATGTCAGTCGAATGGACAGAAGCGCTCCAGCTCTGAAAGTACTCAACGCGGGGTTGGTAAGACAGGAAGGCCTCTTCTGCGTTGGATATACCAGGTGGAAAAGGATTTGGCTTCACTTGGCGTTTCCAATAGGCGTTAGTTGGAAGAAGAAATATACACCAAATCGGACCATAAATACGGGGTTTCAAATATATTGACAACTGCGCCACCTAGCGGATTAATTACGAGCTAAGTTTGCAGAATGTAGAAATGATCCCAGAGCATAGATGCATTTCTGCATCAAAAATAAAACTTAAAGAAAAAAAATGTCGTTTACGTTATTTAGGCGGTTTTTTGAGGGAACAATAACGGAAAAGTTTTAGCTTGAAACATTATAAAGATATAAAAAAAAAAAAATCAGAACGTGAACACTTGTTTCGAGTCACTGCAGTACGAATGTATGTACGTACTTAATCGTGCCAAATCGCTGAAGTTGTGTGAGCGCTAGTCGAATACCTGCTGCCAGTTATGCCTCAAATGCCTGCAGGGTAGGAGGTAAGTAAAAATAAAGAAAATTTTCCATAGACGTGGGATTGCATGCAAAACTGTGATACAAATTTAATATCGCGTTCGGGCTGCATGGTGTATGTGGTTATGGGCCCAAGTTATTAAATCCGTTATGAGGATATGTACTTATGTATGTGGATAATGCAACTGAAAGATACCTAGGCTCCCTTGGATTGGGGAGTGTGAAAGCAAATCGCCATAAAACTATAACACCGTGCAGCAATCCACGTAAGTTAGCTAATTTTCAACAATTTCAAGTAAACAATTTAATTTGGCATGTCAACAAAATATTATCAGCGTCAGGAGCGTAAAAAAAAAACCAAATGATCAACATTTTCTAAGGCGTCAAAAATGCTTAGTTACGATAATATTTACCGCCTAAAAATAGCAACAAGTGTTTTGTTTTCACAAAACTTTTCTATTCCAGTACTGCTCTGCAAAAATCAAATCTTACGATTATCAGCACACCGCCTGAAGCGGTTTCGTAATCAAGCACTTTTCGTGTAAGTTAATATGTAGTATATGTGTATCTATGTATATATGTATGTAATATTATCACCTACATATCTACAGAGTTTGTCACGCACAGAGTTTGATAAGCAAAACATTTGTCAATTTGTAGCTCATAAATTGGCAACGGTTCAGCTGGCAGTCTAAGCAAAGCAATCGTCACGCAAATCCCACCTTGCCTGTTCCACACGCCACACCATCTCCTTTGAAAATAATCAAAAAGTACTCACTAACATGTGGCAGTACTCATAATAAGTAATGTATTTCGTTAGTTTTATTTACATTTTTTTTAGTATCGAACTCTCTTCCCAAAGTAAGCGGGGAGCTGATCTTAGCGCATGTGACTGCGGCATTATCAATTACTTAGTTGCTGTTAAATGGATTTGCACAGGTTTATACCAATCGTCGAAGTACAATGGATGCACTCGCCATCTGATAACAGACATGTGCCACACACTTACACTTCATAGTTAAAGTCCAGCTAAATGGGGGAACTAAGCCTTAAGTCAAGCAGGTACTTACACACTTAGCAGAATAAACAGCTGTGTGGCTATAGTAGATAGTACATATGTACATATAAATATACATATAATAAGTAGGCTATAGCTTCGACATTATATTTTGAGTAATAGCCGCTTGACCGAATTGTCCTCCGCCGCTCGTGTTACAGTTAGGTACGGAGCCTAAGTCAAGAGATTTTTTCCAAAACATAGAAAGGAAATTCACTTAAAGACAAGGTCCTACTATTTGTATTAGACATTTAAAACATGAGATCTTTACAGCTAATACGAAACCTACTTTAATTTTTGGTTATTAAATCTCTGTTATTTTGACACGCGATTGGCAAATTTGAAGTTTTTAAGTTTCTAGTTGCTCCACTTTAGATTTTTCTTCCTATTTATAAATTTTATTGGTTGTCTTGGACACCTTTAATCCACTCAGCGTACAATTTCTTGTTCAATGACTATGTTTTTCCCAGTGTAACGTATTCGGAGGAGTAATGCCATGTCAGAAGTTTCTCCGATATTCTCTCACTTGCACGTAAATATGTATATATACCCAAGAGCACAACTGGAATTCTAAAGAGCGCCACTCAACGGCAACAAACACAAAGCTGCATCAACACTCACAGAAAAAAATCAACAATGAAACGAATAAGAAAATGCATCGTAGTAATGCACCATACAACTAGGTATCTGCTAGATACGCTGCAGAAGTGCAGGTATGTTATATGTACTTAACATATTTGTGTGCAGTTTTTACCCACACTTCAGTGCCTGCTCATTCACGCTCTCCGCATTGCGCTCAGCCACTGGTGTTCTCCATCAACACCCTTCTATGGCCGCTTGCTGCAGTTCGTCACAGACATTGGATTTGCTATAAAACACAACCACACCACCGAGTTCCGTTCATTCGGAGTCGAACTCTTGAGCGGAAAAGAACAAAAAAGCGGAAAACCAAGAAACAGCGAAGACCAAATACAAATAGAAAATCCTCAGCAAAACAAAAGCGAAGTGGTTAAATAGTGAATTGTATGTGCGAAAATCAAGCACGCGGTTATATATAAAATTAAGTATATAACAGCAAGAACAAGTCAAAAGTAGTTACGTGTGTAGCGAAGTTATTGCTCGCGCGAATTTACAAACGAGTTTTTAATACCATCGCAAAGAATCTGAAAAACTAAGAGCGACGCAGTGCATTGTAATTCGTCACTGGAAACGTGTAGCGAAACAAAGTCATTGGAAAGTTCTAGAAGCGAATAAGCAACAACAATAGCAAAACAAGTGACTTCGTCGTAGTGGAGTGCCTTTTGTAGTGGAATCAATACTTTTAAACTCATATTTTGCCTTCCTCGAATTCTAAACCGGCGAAATGGCTTTCATGATGCCCGTAATGAAGAACAACTACGACATCTACAAGGATAGTCGTTCGCGCAAAACTTCAGAGTGCTCCACTACCAGTTCGAATGGTGGCGCACCCACATTGTCTTCCGCCATGGGTGGGGCACCCAGTGGGCGTGTGCGCAAAGTTTCTGAGTGCAAGTCAGAAAGTTTCGCCACCTCACCTTCGCACACCTATCGCATGCAGATGCAGCGCTGTCAGTCATCGCGCGCCTTTCCCCGCAACGCATCGCGCACCTCGCACTCGTCGGCCGCTGGCGCCTTGTCGCCCACGCGCTCCTTCAGCCAGGCGTCCAGTCCGCCTAAGACGATTAACACTGCGGAAAGCCAGAACGATATCACAAAATTTCACTTGCGGCTGGTTGAAAAGCTCCGCAAGTCCTTTCGCAAGGACAGCGCCAAACGGTCATGAGAACGCGAAAGCGCCCTCCATCACAGCAACAGTAGTGGCAGCTATCCCAATGACGATGGCAGCACAACAAAAGCAGAAAACAATAATTTCAAACATAATAGGGAAGCGCAGCAGCATCAGCAGCGGTCACAGGTCGACAGCCCTGAAAGTAGTGCTAGTAGGCGTCAGTCGGCCGGTCGTGATGTTGTCTGCGCGTCGGCGGATACCGCCACAACCCACAAGGAAAGCGGTGATAATTTCGATATCGTCGCAGCAGACGCCATTGAAGACGCAGAAGATTGGCCAAAGTTCGAAGACAACAACACCGTTGCGGCGCCGAGTTCGTTGGCCGCACACTTGGGACGGCGCATCACAGCGCCATTAACGCGTGCCAACCTCAAGCGTTGCCACAAAAAATTCGCGAAGCTGCAGCTCACAACGGCGGCGCAGCATTCACTAGCGGGCCAAATGGGCTCCGCGTCCACGATAGAATTGTACTCCAGCTCGGATGGCTCAAGTTTGTTTGGCGGCGACCGAAGACAACTGCTTGCAGAGGGCAAGAAAGCGCAGCAGAAACGCATCAAACAGACGACAACAACAAATGTCACAGCAATGGGCGAGAAAACGGAAGTAACGGAGAAACCAAAGCAGACGGAGGCGGCGACAGGTCGTGGTCGCAAAAAACGTAAACGCATGAATTTCCTGCGGCGCTCTACTTCCCGCTTTAGTTCGAAGAGCGCGCCGGGTTAAGACAAGACACCCACACACCAGAGCGTGCGTTGTATGCTTTCAGCTGTAATTTGGGCTTCATGTGGCAGCAGTGTTGGCTTTAAATGTTTGCCGCGCATCACTTTGCAACGCAGCGCAACGCAACGCAGCAGCAGAGCAGGGAAGTAAAGATTAATGAAGCAGGACTGGCGATACAGCCGCAAAACATTCAGGGTCCAATTGGGTCTTGCGACTCGTCGCCTGACTGCAGTTTGTTGCACGCGCGCACAACGTGATCAGCATTGTGGCAGCAGCAACTGTCGCTGCCATTTCGAATGCAAGGTCGCGTGCGCGTCGGCATTCTCAAGGCGAGTAGTAGGAAAGGAGTGAATGAGTGATGGATACAACGGCGGAGGGATGAAAGAGGGCGCAACCAAATTGAGGTGCGAGCTGGCAGATAGCCCAAATATTTTACATATATATGCATCTGAATCTGGGCGAGCGAATGCAGTGGTGGCAGCGCTACAACGGTACTTATTTGCGAAATATCACAGGCAATGCGGATAGCATGGCTATTTTTGGGCTCATTCGACAAATGGTAAGCGGAAATTATCACAAGGAATGAACCGCACTATTCTAAAGACAGAACCCGAACTTTTTAAGTATATTTTGAATGTATGATTTTTTTAGAAGCAATTAAGTATTTTGGAATAATATTTTTTATTGAATATTATTTTATACAAATTTTAGAACTTATGCCATGTGATAAAGTATGAAACTATTTTGGGAAAGCAAATGCTTGTGGAAGTAACAACAAAAATATAGACATTTAAAGAAGTGAGCTTAAGAGCCGAATAAACAAATTTACATAAAGTTTCAAACGGTTTTCAGGGAACTAAATGCTTCCAAATTTCTTTAAAAAATATGAAAACTATACAACGTTGAAACTGCCATTTCCAAATTGTTCTGTAGAGAAAAGCTTTGAGTTAATAGAATTTATTTTTCTGCACAACACATAACATTACAAATATTTTAGAGCTGTCTTTGGGCTTCCATGAAATTGAACAGAACAAGCACTTTTTGCTTGAAAGCAAATAATAATTAGCGAGAAGCCACAAAAGTGCCACACACATGGCCGTGGAAGCCCATTTACGCCACTCAAATACAATAACAAAAGAAAAAACATTAGCTAAAAAACTGCTAGTTTCTAATTTAAGTGTAAACTTTAACGGTATCTAATAAAAACAAACAAAATGGACTCGTCAAGTATAACTGAAAGTTTTCTGCTTTATAAAATTATTAACTGCAATTTATGCAATAAATCAATGTTGAACATTATTTAAGTATTAGGTAAATAAATAGTATCTATAAATATATGTATGTAGGTTAGTTTGCTTTCTAATGTCTAAGTTAAGTGAAAATGCTTTAAATGTATACAACCTATACATGTCTACATGAAATTATTTGTATACTAAGTAATACAAAACAAATGTGCTATGTATGTATGTACATATGTACAATATATGTATAAGTATTTGCTTTGAATAATCTGAAGTATATGAAATAAAAAAAAAAAATAAAAAATTAAATAAACACACAAAATTTGCGCTATTTATTGGAAAAATTATTATTTTATAGGCTGTTTTTATGTGAGTATGTCTAACTTCACTTCGAAGATGGGGAAAAATAACAGAGAGAGGAGAATATAAATATTATTGACTTGTGGAAAAGTACATGCAATTATAGCACATACATACACACACATAGCCGCCAATCAATAAGCACGCTGCCTATTTTACACGCAACGGATTCCAGCCCTATTCGAGCCAAAGTTGAATCCATAATGAGTGGAGCGGCCTACTGAAGGTTGCTGAATGCATGCAATACATACATATTTACAAGCCAATTAGATTTACATACATATGTACATAAGGGTAATTTAATTCAAATGGACCAATTAACCGTCTGGGAGCGTCGTTACCGACATTTCTAGCCAAAAAGGAATGCACGCTATTCAACTTGTAAGGAATCAAGCGTTTTCAAACATATTTGGCTACAAACAAGTGCATGTGTGTGTGTGTGTGCAAGCAGTTACCCCTCAGCCAAGCCCACTAGTTCTCGATTTGGAGCACTCGTCTTTAACTAAAAAACTCCAGGTCAGATCAACTTCTTCTGCTTGTCTTAGAATTTCGTATTGAACCTTTTTGCAACTGGTATTCTTATTTCTAGTCATTGCCTAACTAGTAGTAGAGTCTATGGACTAGCTAAGCTTTTCCCACCAGGATAACATTGTCGACAAGCAGAACGCTTAACATCTAATAAGGAGACTGCTCCACTACGCCTTGGAAATATGCCTTTTGTGCACTTTTCATTAATGGCAACTGGCGGCCTTCACCTACTTTCGTACGGCAAGCTTAGTGGCTTTGGGATTTTTATACTATTTAGTATGAAAATATGTATGTATGTATGTACGTGTGTATGTAAGTACATTTGTATGTGGGCATAGATATGTATGTATGTCACAGCAAATACTTTTATTTGTAGAACTTTGAATGGCTTTGTAATGCCAAAGGATTTGTTAGATAATTTGACAGAAATGAAAGGGATTTCAGCGCATTTCTAGAAGATTAGTATGCACATGTGTATGTAGTTATGTAAATACTTTGTACTCACAGGCAAATAATATATAAGCATACACGAAAGTAAAACACAGCGCGACGGCTAAGTATTATTTAGTGAATAATAGAGAATATCAGACATTTCACTTAGTCACAGATATATGTATGTACATATGTATGCACATACTGACATACATATTTGTTTCTCAATGGCTGCGCTTTCGAAATTCTGAAAAGAATTAATGATGAAAATTTGCCAAACTGCCTTTCTTCACATATACGAAAATTTCTGTTGACTAAATAGAATGGCGAAATAGCAAAATTTTTGTTGTGCAACAGACTTAAGAGAAATTCCAACGACAACGTCAATAAATACCTGAAGGCGTACATACTATAAATACAAACATACGTATGTATATATGTAGTACATACACACATACAGTGAAAGCTCGATATTACGATGTTGAAGAGGCTGGACAAATGCTTCGTTATATCTATAGTTTCATTACATTTATATTTAGATTATCAAAACCCCGATACAAAGCAAAATGCAGAGTTTTGGAATCATGGGGCAGAGCAAAAATTTTGTTATATTAGCTCTGATTCAATATTTTTCGTGTAAAATGTCAAACAGCAAAATTACTCTTTAAAGTGAAAAAAGTATTTTTCCTGCAAAAACGTGAACCAGTGATCGCTTGACACTTTTCATGATTATACCAGAAGAAAAAGTGCGGGTAAAATCTTGCAACATCATTCTCTACACAACTCTCCAAAAATCGCTTTTATTTACAGGATTTTGGAGCACGGGACCATTTTTCCTATAACTTCCTGCAAATTCGTGTAAAAACCTGCAAGTTCATGGAGTACTGGATGAGAGCTATTATTGAATTATTCGTTTTATCAATGCTCAATTTATCGAGGTTTCACTCTATGTAGTGTATATATGTATGCAGTAAGTACATTCATTTGTATGCGTCAGAAGAAAATTCGCCCCTTTTTTCGTGAGTGAATTGAATTTTAACCGCCTGATGCGGTCGTACGTCAAATGTTATGCATTTTAAAAGAAATTCGCATGCTAGCACCACCCTACACACAAATAAACATACATACATATATATATATATATGTGAATGAACATAAAATTGGTTGCATTGGCGACAACTAGGCGAATAACAAAATGTAAGAAAAACAAAAAAAAAACAAATATTTAATGCGATCTTTCTTATACGGATATGTGTTTGTATGCAAGTCTGTCTGATTGACAATAAACAATAAAAATAAACTGTATACATATATTTTTTACAAGATATTTCGCTTTCTAAGAATAATTAAAAATTACGGCGGCTTGTTGTTTGTCTAACATATGACCTTCAAGATACTCGCACATATATATATGCGTATATATGTAAATATATAGAAGATCTAAAAGAAATAGTGAGCGTGAAAAGTCTGCGCCAGTTTATCGGGTTTTATTTGTAGTTGTAGATTATTTAGTTCAAAATGAATATGTATTGTCTTTAAAAATTGGAAAGTTCTTAACGCTGGCACAGTACGCACGTCATTTGGCCATATATATACGCAAATTCTTAGATAAACATACCTTGGACTTTAATAAGAATGATTCATGTGTTATCAGCAATTTCATTAGGAATCATCAGCATTAAATTAACCCAATTGAAGCAAGTAAGAGCAATTCAACAAACAAAAAACTATTTCTATTAATTAAAAATAAATGCCACAGTCAGTGCCTTGTTCTTTACAAAATGTATAGATAATTTCGCAATTTCTGCATCCTGAAATCATCATACGTCCAAATAATTACTTTGCTCCCTTGTTTATCTCATAAATGCGTATGCATATGTCACCTTGAATATATGTGTATGTATGTAAATCTACATCCAGAGGCAATAAACCGCTTCAGCTAATTTAACAGCTGACAATTTTCTTGATAATTTCCGATTATAAACCGCACTTTACCAGCTTGAACCCGAATTTTATAACTGGTGAACGGTTAAATGGGTGGTGCTCAACCAACCGCAAAACATCCCGGTTAAATGACAGGTCCACACATACATATTTAAATACATAAAATACAAATGTGTACCCACCGACAGTGCTGCAATAAAGTATACAGCCACATTTGATGCGCACATTGCAATTAGATGACAATTATTTTTTTTCTTTTTGTTGCTATTGTATGTACAGTTTTTGTGTACACAATTTTATCAATTTGACGCTGATAAAATATCTATCTCATGTTTGCTTGGTCATATTGCGTTGTGGCGCAAATAAGTGATTTATGATTTAATAAATGTGAAACGACTGTCCGTACGCGTATAGTACACATATGTATATACATATACATATGTATGTATGCACTTACATATATTTTTTGTATTTCTCTGCAATGGTCCCCCTCATTGCATGTCAATTGGGCGGCATCAGCGCGTATCGCTTATGTGGCGTCTGCACATGTTGGAAATTGACCGTTAAACGAAGTGGCAAGCCAGATTTTCCGCATTCATTTCAATCGCAGAGAGCATAAAAGTGGTATGAAATGAATAATGGTCAAGTATTTGCATTAATGTGCTTAGATATGTAATACATATGTATGTAAGTATGCAAGTACTAGCCTAAGCAGTTTATGGTTAGTAATATAAAGGTGATCATATGCATCCAGTTTAGTGCTTATGTATGTATGTATGTATGCACGCAAATTAAGACAGAAGTAAATGCGGAAGTTATTCGGTACTGAGAATGATATGGAATTCGAACGCCTATCTTCTATTCTTTCTATTTTTATTTTTTTGCCAACAGCGTTTGAATACTTTTTGTTATTTTGCACGAAATTATTTGCACGATCGCTTATTTTTTTATGTACAGTCATGTACAAAAAATTCATAAGATTTTTACGAAAATATAATGTATTCTATAACATAGCCACAAAAAATTATAGTTTCACACTTTCTATAAAATTTACAAAAAATAAAAAATTTTTTTTCAAAATTTCAAACTTTTTATACAGAATTTTTAGAAACTTTTCGAGTATGCAGCTTCAAGTCGTTAAAGGTTACCATTGATTTGTTAGATTTCACTTTAGACTTTCATTAAATTTATTTCAATTAATTTGAAATTCACAATAATAAAGGCTAGTATTTTCATAAAAAATTAATGAAAACATTTGTTCATGAAAATAATTGTGAATATTATATTAGAACAGGGTGTATGCTAACTTTTGACGCTGACTGTGTGTTCATACCTTAATATAGAATAGGCCCTATTTTTATTCCTTTGAATAGTAATTTTTGAATTTAATTAAAAAGTAAAGTGTTTTACTTACTTATTCTATTTAAACACTGTTTGTTTTGATTAAAGGCTATATGTATGTAATTTAATACTGTCATAGTTATTTTTAAATTCTATTAGATGCCGTCTTTTCTACAAAGCTGGATTTCCAAAGAAAATAAATTAGGGCCTTTCTATTATTAAGGCAACGATAGGTATTTACATCGTTGAACCATTACAACCCCGAACTAGTTAAAGCTCCGAATTA